CCTGGACAGCTTCTTTTTTTCAAAGTGTAATTTTGAGGTCTTAACTTTGAGGTCTTGCTGTCTCTGTAATTCTCACTCTGAACCTTAACGGAGATACAGCCCTGGAGACCTGACATAGTTTGACATTTTGCAGGCCTTGACATTGAACAAGGACATGGAGTATGAGAAGTGAGTCTCTGGTCCAACAGAACATGCATACTGAGGGGATTCTTTGAGACACACTGAGTGATCCATTCTGTCTGGCCCAGGTGCCGTAGTGACAGCATTTGCAATGTGACCAGCTGGGCTTAGGGGCACAACCCAAAATTGAAGAACAGGTTTTTCTTTGGCATAACCTAACACTTAACAATGGCCTCAATAAATGTTTGTTCAGAGCATACTTGGTGCCACAGAGTGAGAGGCGGGACATTAAGAACCCATGCTTGCATAGCACTTCTTTTTATAAGGCCCTCTCAAGGCAGCTCATTTCTACAAGAGCTCTGTGAAGTGTGTATGGCGAGTATTATTATCATCATTTTATAGGTGAAGAATCTGAGAGTCAAATAAATTAAGTGATCCGCCTAGAGTGGAACACTTTTCTAGGCTCTAAATTCCACATTCCTTCTCTTATTAAAATAAACCTAGACTTGTGGCCAAAATATCTAGCTTAAAACAGACTCTACCTGCATAGGGAGGTATGGACAATGTAAGATTGGCCTTGATTGACAAGTGTTGAAACTAGGTATCGTTAGGTTTAGGAGAGTCCATTCTATTCTGTCATTTATGTATATGTTTAAATTTTTCTTTTTTTAAAAAAGTATTTATTTATTTATTTATTTATTTATTTATTTATTTATTTGAGAGAGTGAGTGCGAGCATGAGTGGGGTGCAGGGCAGAGGGAGAGGGAGAAGCAGACTCTCCACTGAGCAGGGAGCTCGGTGTGGGGTTCAATCTCAGGACTCTAAGATCATGACCTGAGCCCAAGTCAGATGCTCAACTGCGGAGACACCCAGGTACCCCTGTTTGAAATTTTCTATAATAGGGTGCATAGATGGCCTGGCAGTTGAGCGTCTGCCTTCATGAACCCAGGGCCCTGAGATCGAGTCCTACATCAGGCTCCCCGTGGGGAGCCTGCTTCTCCCTCTGCCTGTGTCTCTGCCTCTCTCTGTGTCTCTGTCATGAATAAATAAAGTCTTTAAAAAAAAAAGAAATTTCTATAATAGGAAGTTTTAGGAATGCCTGGGTGTCTCAGCAGTTGAGATTCTGCCTTTGGCTTAGGTCATGATCCCAGGGTCCTGGGATCCAATCCCACAATGGGCTTCTTGCAGGGAGTCTACTTCTCCCTCTGCCTAGGTCTCTGCCTCTCTCTGTGTCTCTCGTGAATAAGGAAATAAATAAATCTTTAAAAAAATACAAAGTTTTAAAAAAAGAATAAAGCCATATTCTGTGCTCAAATCATACCCCTGTGAAGCAGTTCTGACATAAATCTCACTTTCCTGTCTCTAAGTTTGCTTGACTGGCTGAGATCTCATTACAGACACCAGCTGCCATTTATTGAGCCTTTATTGTACCGGGTACTCGGGTAGGTGCTTCCTTCCCGCGTCTCACTGTTTGACCCTTGTAACCATGCTGTGACTGTACTACTGTCCCTGTCTTACAGATGAGGAAAGGCTTAGTGAGGTCACATAACTGGCCCAGATCTCATAGCTAGTATCAGAGCTGGGATTTGAACTCGGGTCTGTCTGGCCAGAGAGCCATATCCTTCACTCTTGCTTCCTACTTTACAACCAGAGGTGGAACACCCTTTCGGAGGCAGTACTATCTGAAGCGTGCTTTTGTTCTGATCATCTTACAAGGAACTCTGAACACGGGATTGGGGACTTTCTCATCTGGAGAAATGCTGGAAAAATAGGACTTCTACTTAGGGACACTCTTTCATTTGGCCAGGCCTGTCTGTCCTCACCTCCCTCCTGGGATTCAAGCACTTAACTTTGTTTTGTCATCTCAGGTGGATGAAGCTGAGCACAGGGAGTCATAGGTATTTTTTCAGCTCCAGAAAGTGGACCTTCTACCAAAGAAGTGGGAGAGGGAGGGGATGACTGCCTTCCTTTTTTTTTTTTTTTTAAATTTTTTTTTAATTTTTTAAATTTATTTATGATACTCATAGAGAGAGAGAGAGAGGCAGAGACACAGGCAGAGGGAGAAGCAGGCTCCATGCACCAGGAGCCTGATGTGGGATTCGATCCCGGGTCTCCAGGATCGGGCCCTGGGCCAAAGGCAGGCGCCAAACCGCTGCGCCACCCAGGGATCCCCGGATGACTGCCTTCCAACGAGATTTAGGTTCCAGGTCTCTTCATGAGTTCACTGAGACTGACAATTTTTTTTTTTAAAGATTTTATTTACTTGGATCCCTGGGTGGCGCAGCGGTTTGGCGCCTGCCTTTGGCCCAGGGCGCGATCCTGGAGACCCGGGATCGAATCCCACGTCGGGCTCCCGGTGCATGGAGCCTGCTTCTCCCTCTGCCTGTGTCTCTGCCTCTCTCTCTCTCATTCTATGTGACTATCATAAATAAATAAAAATTAAAAAAAAAAGATTTTATTTACTTATACATGAGAGACACACACACGGAGAGAGAGAGAGAGAGAGAGAGAGAGAGAAAGGCAGAGACATAGGCAGAGGGAGAAGCAGGCTCCCCACAGGGAGCCCGATGCAGGACGCTATCCCAGGCCCCAAGGATCACAACCTAAGCTGACGGGAGACACTCAACCAATGAGCCACCCAGGCGTCCCAGAAGACCTACATTTGTCCCCTAGTTGGACTATCCCAGGTAAAAGGACAGCAAAACCAGCCCAACTGGAAGGCCTCCCCTTCAAGTCAGCTGAAGCCAGTACGGGTGAGGCCTCCCTCCACCCGAGCAGAGCCTTCTCCCGCCAGCCGGGAAGAGCCCTGGGCTGTTATCTAGTGTGATATCAAATATTTAGTTGGAGCCTGTTCAGAGCTTTAGGGCTTCAGGGAACTGTTTAGATATCAGATTCTCTCCTGCCAGGTCAAGCAAACCCCCTGTGGACGGCCGGCCGGGTTTCCTCAAGCCTCTTTCCCAGCAGCCAGTTATCTTGCGCCCTTTCAGGTGCCGTCCAGCTGAGAGGCCCCAGGCCTGCAGAAGCCGTGCTTCTAATCCCTGTCTCAGGCTCAAGCAGCCGCAGTGGGCGATGGAAGGTTGTTTACAGAAGATGAAGGCTCGCTGCCCTGCACCTGGTTTCTGTCCTGCCCGTGCTGACGGGGATGAAGGATCCTTCATTTATCTCAGCCTCTCTTCTCAGGCAGCTCCTGCTGTCATGGCAAGCTTGGGCCCAAGGCAGCTTGGACTGGCATATCGGCCCCTGATAAGCAGCTTGCTGAGGGTCCGGGGAGAACACTTATAGGGCTCCATACCTCCCCGAAGCCCCCACTCCAGGCTAGGGGGAGCAGGGCTGGACTGGGACGAGGGCTGCTGAGGGTTTCTATGGAAGGTCAAGTGGCCTCCATTCCAGCTATCTGGAGGGTAGGGCCTTGTGCTCTTTCTCTACTTACAGATTTGGGAAGCAGGTAGCCAAATAACGCATCTGCCCTTTGTGCCTCCATGGGAGTAAGAGAGAAAGGGCATCTACTAGGCAAAGGGCATAGAGATGATCATGTTTTATAAGGCACAGGGGCACACAAAGTAGAGGAAGGCCCACGGGGGCAGACATAGCAATCTGGAAGGACGAACATGGGTGTGGAGAGTGTGGAAGCCACCTCCATAAAAGTCACTGAAGATAATAACTAAAGTTTATGGGGTGCTTACCAGGCGCCCAAGCCCTGTGCTAAGCACTTGATCTCATTTAATCCCAAGAAGTAAATACTCTTATTACATCCGTTTAACAGATGAGGAAATAGGGGTTTAGAGAGATTAAGTATACAGCCAGTAAGAAGAGCTGAGATTAAACACGGGATAACTTGGCTCCACGGCCCCAAGCGTTTAACAACCAGGCTGTAGTGGACAGACACACCGCAGGTGATCGAGTCTGGGGCACAGAGTTACATGGCCACTGATGTGTGTTGAGGAATGTTGGTGCCTGATTTTTCCTGGTGATACCCTGGTACTCGGAGTGACATCCCGGTACACTGTGGAGCCTGGAGTGAGGAAGCAAATCCAGATGGGGAGTTAGGAGAAGCAGATAACAAAGGGTAAGTGTAAATCGGCCCCTCTGGGAAGCTGAATTTGGAGATGAGCAGGAGACCTCAGCGCTCTAACAACTTTCCATGTTTCAATGGGGCAGATTTCCATGAAAATAACTGTTTCCTTTTGACTCAAATAAATCCACCTACTGCCTTCCACCTTCCTGGAAAAAGTCAATAGTTTTCTGAAAATGAATCCCAATAGTAGATACAGTGGTGGTACTCTCTGGATAGAGCAGGAAGTTAATAATTTCAGATGTTGGAGTCTACTCCAAATAGTTGACTAATGCACTCACCCTCTGGGGGCGGGGGTGTCTCCTCCCTCCTGGGACAGATGTTTTGAGTTGTTTGGACAAGTCACCACTCTCCCCTGCATTGAAGGAATGTTAGGCCTGGCCAGGGCCTCAGTCCCAGGAAAGGTGTAAGGTGTCCAGGACTTAGAAGGTCTGTGTTCCATGTTTGATTCTTCTTCTTCTATTCTTCTTCTTCTTCTTCTTCTTCTTCTTCTTCTTCTTCTTCTTCTTCTTCTTCTTCTTCTTCTTCAAGATTTTAGTTATTTATTCATGAGAGACACATAGAGAGAGGCAGAGACATAGACAGAGGGAGAAGCAGCCTCCTTGCAGGGAGCCTGATGCAGGACTTGATCCCAGGACCCCGGGATCACGCCCTGCCAAAGGCAGACGTTCAACCACTGAGCCACCCTCAGTGAGCATCCCTGAGTGAGCTCACTGAGCGTCTCTCCATGTTTGATTCTACCACTGAGTTGCCTAATGTTCGACATTAGGAAAGAGGCTTGACAATCCCTTACTCTCCTCTCTTGCAGTAGAGAAGTTTATCCTACTCCCCAACATCAAAATGTGGCAAGAACAAGGACAAATGGGACCACTTAAAATAAGTGTCATCTACATTTAGGGCAAGGTGGCTTTGATAAAGGTAAGTCTGTGCTTCTTCTCTCTCTACCTCCTTCCGCTGAGGTCTGGGCCTCTTCTTTGCTGGAGCAGCCAAGTGAACTCTCAGGACCCCACTGTCTCAGGGGTAGGTAGAAAGCATTGACAGAGGGCCTTCAAGCCTCATTTCTACAACTGCAGCTCCTATCTGACCCCTTGAGGACAGATAGTTGGAGGCAAGGGGAGCCGGGTGGGGGGAGAGGATGCCCTGTTTCACACTCTTCCAACCTGACGCCGCCAGGGCTGGGATGGTGACAGGGCCTGGACTCTGCGTTCGAAGCAGCTGAGTCTTGTGGACAAGAAGCAGATAAACTGCACAAGGCCTCTTAATGAACCCAGCGCCAGCTTCAGATAAACTGTCGCCACTTACTCCTCCCAACCCTCCCTTCTCCAGGAAAGACTCCACTTTGCATCAGCAGCAAACTTTGGAGCAGGAGCTAGGACTCCAGTGCATGTTGCTCTCCAAGGAAAGTTCTGGAGGGAATTCCAATAAGAGTCTTGTTTGATTCCCCTTAGCTTCAACTGAACCCAACTCTCAGACCCAAAGAGAAGCAGGAAACCAGCAACTGAGAAATATAGGTAAAAACCACTGGGGGAATGTCAACTTAAAAAAAAAATATCCCCTCCCCCCAAATATATTCCCTAGGATCTCAGAGTGTGACACATGTTTTTGTGGTTTTTAAAAATTAATTAATTAGTTAATTAATTAATTTTATTTTAAATAAGTTCTATCCCCAATATGGAGTTTGAACTCAGAACTCCCAGGTCAAGAGTTGCATGCTCTACTGACTAAGCCAGCCAGGCACCCCTATAGATATGTTCTTTAAAGAAGCAATTAAGGCAAACTGAGGCCAATAGGGTGAGTCATAATCCAATATGGCTAGTGTCCTTACATGAAGAGGAGATTAGGACACAGACACACACAGAGGGAAGACTATCTGAAGACACAGGATGATGGCCATCCGCAAGCCAAGTAGAGAGTCCTCAGAGGACACCAGCCCTGATGACTCCCTAATGTTGGACTTTTAAGCCTCCAGAGTTGTGAGAAAAGAAATTTCTATGTTTTGCTTTCTTGCTTTTTACTACCATTTTTTCCCTTCATATCTCCTTTGAATCATAAATCCTTTCTAGCCACAGAAGAGGTATGTACATTACAAGCAAGTAAATTCTGTTTATAGATGTTGGAAGCCCCATCCCAGATCAGTAGAGTAGTGGCAAAGATAAGACTAAAATCTGGGACTCCTGCCTCCCACCAAAAATATTTCATTATAATATTTCCCCTCCTATTTATCTCAATAATTCCCTCAACTTTATGCTTTGTTTTGGCCCTTGGAGATCTGGCCACACACATTCTAAGACATGGATCATCTCTTTGTAGGTCATTGGGACAAGCAGAGTCCAGCTCATCTCTTCCAGGTTGCACACTACTCGGATTACCCCTGAGCCCATAGGAGATACACAAACATTAACTAAATATAAATATTCCTAAGGGTGTGAGTGTGTGTCATTTCCATAGGGAAATGCAGAAGTTTTTTTTTTTTTTGTTTTTTTGTTTTTTAAGACTGCTTATTCACGAGAGACACACAAAGAGAGGCAGAGACATAGGCAGAGGTAGAAGCAGGCTCCCTGCGGGGAGCCTGATGTGGGACTCAATCCCAGGACCCCAGGATCATGCCCTGAGCCAAAGGCAGATGCTCAACCACTGAGCCACCCAGGTGCCCCTGCAGAGGCTTTTTCTGAAAGCATTTGAAAAACAGAAATATGTTTCTCATCTAGGGTAACATCAGTGCTCAGAAGCAGGTAGAAATGACCTCAAAGGGGTCTTCAAACACTAGGATAAGGCCCAAGCTCAGGACTGGGGAGGATATGAGGTGCCTAACCTCAAGCATATCTATTCCAACAGCTTTAAGACTCTATAGAAATTTGGCAGGAGATAGTAACAATGTACAGGATATGATCTAGCAGGATCAAGGGCCTTCTGATTTTTATCTAAATGTTTTATATCCAGGGCAAATGTTTTTAACTGAAGGAGATAGAAGAATTCCACTTTTTCTTTTCTGACCTAGCTGCTGAGTTTGGATGGATCAGATGGATTCTCTAATGGTTTCACCTAAGTAAGCAAAGCCATGCTGTAAGTTTCTCCTATTGCTCCAAATGTGGCTGCCTAACACATCTCTAATCACTTAGTATGGCTCTACTGAATTCTGTATGAGTTCTGGATGTTTACTTAGATAGTGATGCTTATTGGGTATCACCATCCTTTTTGTCCGACTAGTAAATAGTCCATAAACTTCTTTTTTTTTTTTTAAGATTTTATTTATTTATTCATGAGAGACACAGAGAGAGGCAGAGACAGAGGCAGAGGGAGAAGCAGGCTCAACGCAGGAGCCCGATGTGGGACTCAATCCCAGGACTGTGGGATCACACCCTGGGCCAAAGGCACCCTGCTCAACCGCTGAGCCACCCAGGGATCCCAGGCATCCCAGTCCATAGACTTCTACTCAAAGTGTGACCCATGGGCCATGCTCTGCACCATCACCGGGGAGCCTGTTAGCAGTGTCAGTTCTCAGACCAACCCACATCTGACCCAGAGTCTGCAGTTTAACAAGCCCCCCAGGAGATTCATATGCACATTAAAGTTTGAGAAGCACTAGTCCACATTGCATTATTTGCTCTGAATTTCTCTTCGACCTATGAGGTGAGCAGGACAAATATTCTAATTTCCATTTTTTTGGTGGAAACTGAGACTCAAAGGTGAAGCAACTTGCCCATGCTCACACAACTACATGGAGGAACTGGAATTTGAACCCAGGTCTTTGGACTCTAGATCCTCAGCTCCGTCTACTACTCTTATGATTCAGAAGGAGAGACAAGCAGTTGACTCAGAGCAAATGAGTTATCCTGAGATTTGACTGCTTTGTGCTTCTGTTTCTCTCACGTGTAAGATGCTCTCTGAAAGACGGAGCGCTGTGACGATGAGCTTGGTTGTCCCTTCTGTCCTTTATCCCTCAGCCACCTAACAGCATCTCTAACCCTGGCCAACTGCTTCACAAGTACAGGTTGTGAGCAATAATTGCCAGCACCTGTCACAGCGCCTGGCATCTAATAGGTACTCAACAAATGTTTGTTGAGCCAAATAGAATTACCTAGCATGAGCGAGAACTCTCAGCTGCTGATTACCAAAGCGCATTGGTGAAGGCGTGTTGTGGGTCTTTGTGGCTCCTCTCTCTAGTCCTAGAGAAACATTCAAATTACAGGGCCTCCTGACAAAAACTAGGGGCACCATCTTCTTAACCTGAAAGGCAGATTTTAAAAACAAATTCCATCATCTGTGTCTGTCTCCTGAGTAGGGCCCAAGCCAGGAGTTGCAAATGCCTGGAGTTGATGAGTGTGGAATTTACATGCTTACACTGGAAAACAGGCTCTGCTGCATTTTCTTAGATTGGAAGTGCCGAGTGTGGGAAAAGTCAAGAGCACTGACTGAGCCAAGTTTGAAGCCAGGGGTCAGCAGAAAGATATCAGTGGGTGACAGTAACAGGGATCTGCCTGTAAAAGTTGGCTGAAGTCTGAGGCTTCCTCTCAGATTGTTGACAATGGGAAAAACCTCAAGTTAACCAGAGAGAGGATTTCAGTGCCTCTAGGCTGACACAGGGCTGAGTAGGAAATGCCTAGTTTTCTTTGCTTGCTTCCCCAGGAGAGCAGAAATGAAGCAAAGCCCCGAGGAGGGCTGAATTATTATTCTGTAAGAAGTTTTCCGACGATCTGGGCTGTAAAGACGGATCCCATTACGAAATGTGACAGCTATTGCACTTCTCTGCATTTTAGTACCTTACACTGAAATATAAATGAAAGGAGTATACTGTCTTTGGCAAGGAAGCTGTCAATCCTCACCCTCTGTGAGCTGGCCACATATTTGCGGTTCTTCCACCTGGGTAGGGCTGGTTGTGTGGCTTAACTCACATGTTCTCATCCAGTCCTCTTGGTAGTTGGTGAAATCTGTGAGCCATAAGACAGATAAACCTATAACTTTGTCTTCCTTTGTGCGTATCAGACTCTAAGCTCAAGAGTAAGCCCCAGATGCAACAAGATGCAACGTGGCCTTTGATCATATGAAGATTAGAGAGATTTGCTTCATCCTCATCCAACTACGTTAGTAGTCGGCAAGAGGAGGACCTCGCTTCCACATTAACAGGGAGGCAGGGATTCAGCTCTTCTGGTGTGGGTGGAAGAAAGTTCACCCCTTGCCCCAGTGCTGCTCAACTTGTTTTGGCCAGGAAATCCGTAGCCTGGGGATTCTTCTAAGAGCGGGGGCAGAAAGAAAGACGGTAATAGCTTCAGGTCATATCTATTTCTGACCTCACACAGTTGTTCTTAGAGATGTGTAATCCCATTCCTACTTGCTTTATAATTTAGTTGGTTTGATTGTCTCAGCATTGTATGTGGGCAGGTAGATTTCTTTCTCCCTTCCTGCTCGTCTCTCCCACCGCCCCCCTCACTGCAGTCTTCCACTCCCGGCTGGCTAGTCACTGGGTGATTCACTTGTCAAACAAGTATGCACGTGTAGAACACTGTGTAGACAGGGGAGAAAACAGACCACTTCCTCTTCGCCATTCCCAGTGTCACCTACTCAGACTTTTGTTGCCACATTTGCAGCATTTTATTGCATTTTTTGATCTGCTTGCATGTATTTCCCCTTAAAAGACAATGAACTTAAGCCAAGTTTTCCAGCACATGGGAAATGTTCAGTATAGTCGACTAAATTGGATGAACAAGGGCACTTGAAAAGCTAAAGATGAATCAGAAAGATCAGGTCTCAGAAAAATGGCAGATCTAAGTTCTTCTGAGTAGCCTGAACCTGGGGTAAACTTCCAAAATGGCCCTGGGTTTGGAAATTTGACCTTTTCAACATCGACATTGACATTGCTATAGCCCCAGTGTGGTTACTATGCTGTTGATAGTGTCACAAAGATGTTTGTCAGGACAGAGGACAGCTGATAATATATCATCATTTTGAGTGCCACAAAAGACATTTAGCAGCGATAGAGCATTGCTTAGAAACCGTTGCAACAATACAGTTTTGCAATTGATTTGTAAAATTATCTATGTACATACTAACATTCATTTTTTGTGTGCATTCTTGAACAGATCCATAAAATGTCAGAAACGAGGATTGTAGAAGGAGGCCTGCCTGCTTCTTTTCAAAGAGGAGGAGCTGAAGCATGGAGACTGAGAAAGAACATGTTAGCAACTAATGGAAGAGCTGGGATGAGAACCAAATCCTCTCAGTTCACCAGAAAGTGCTTACAAACTATGGAGATGGTAGCAGGGGCTTCCCAAAGAGTACTTCCCTCATTCAGGGGACCTGAGGATTTTCTCCCGATTTTCTTCCTGCCTAAACACACAGAGGCTTTCTTGATCTCTCCTCCTCTCTCAAACTCCTTCCTTTTCTCTTCCATTCAGTCTCTTTCTCTCTTTCCCTTTCCATTGCTAACATTTATTGAGCACTTATTATGTTCCAGGCACTTGGATCTGCATTTTCTCACTTAATCTTCATGCTAACCCTATGAGGTAAGCCCAATAGTTTTTTTTTTAATATTTATTTATTTATTTATGATAGACATAGAAAGAGAGAGAGGCAGAGACACAGGAGGAGGGAGAAGCAGGCTCCATGCCGGGAGCCCGACGTGGGACTCGATCCCAGGACTCCAGGATCGTGCCCCGGGCCAAAGGCAGGCACTAAACCGCTGAGCCACCCAGGGATCCCCAGGTAAGCCCAATAGTAATCATCATCCTCTTCCTCCCCATTTTTTTTTTTAAGATTTTATTTATTTATTCACAAGAGACACACACACACAGCGAGAGAGAGGCAGAGACACAGGTAGAGGGAGAAGCAGGCTCCATGCAGGGAGCAGGATGTGGGACTCGATCCCAGGTCTCCAGGATCAGGCCCTGGGCTGAACGCAGCGCTAAACTGCTGAGCCACCCGGGCTGCCCTTCCTCCCCATTTTTGTAGAAGAGGTATGGGGAAGTCAAACACTTGCTCAAGATCATACCATTATTAAGTGACAGAATTGGAATTCAGACTGAGGGTGCCTGCCTGGCTCAGTAGGAAGAGCATGTAACCTTTCACCTCAGGGTCATGCATTTAAGTCCCATGTTGCACTTGGAATTCAGACTCAGTATGCTCCACTGCAGAGTCCACGCTCCTAACCCTTGCTCTGTAGTGTTTTCAGAGCTACTCCTAGATTTGAGGAATCCCCCAAACCCCCACTCTGGAGCACCAAAGACCCTTGGAGAGAAAAGACCCAGTCTCCTCAAGGAGGTGCCAGGCTCCATCCTACTTTGTACTCGTCGTCATAATAACCACTTGTGATGATTTGCTTTTATGTTCATCTCTCCCACTGGAATAGAAGGGAAAGGGTTGTGTCTTTTACCTTTTTGTGCCTAACACCTAGCATAGTGCCTGACTCAGAGACAGTGGCTAATCAATACCAAATAAGTGAGGAATGCCACTCTGATAGAGATCACGGGGTCACACACATGAGCACATCTACTCAGAGCTCCTGAGTTTGCTCTCTCTGCTTATTTTCCTTGTGGGTGCAGCATTCCATATGAGAAGATGGCTTTGTTCTCTGGTGGAATGCAGACCCCTTCTGGGGAGGACTAGGCCCAGGGGACAGGGCAGTGCCCATGTAGCACCTCTCCTTCCTTCGGCCAGACCTTGATGTCTGGAGCCAGGAATCCCTTTCTCTCCTTGCTGGCTTGGTGAGACTTCCCCAAACCAACGCTGGGCCTAGGCTTGGCAGCACAGGGCCTCATAAGATTATTGTGGCCTTTTGCCTACTGAATGTTGGCCTGCTGTTTTTACCAAGGCCAATTTCTCCAAATCCATGCTCCCAGACTAGGAGAAGGGTCCATGCCACTAGCTTTGACACTTGACCTGGGACTTGGCAGTGGCTGTTTTGATTTGAAACCTCTGCATGAGAAGGTGTCTGGTTCAGACCAGGTTCACTTCTCTGTCGGGTTTACCACCTCTGAGTGCTGCTTGCGTGCTTGCAGTCCCAGCCCGATAGGCCCAATGTTCCACTCCACCCTGCTCTCCCTTCCTGCTGAGGGAACTGTCGTGACCCAGGCCAGGCCAGGCAGCGCTTGCGTCACCGTCCAGTTTTTTGCTCTTTGTCCCCGGCCAGGGACTTCCAAGGTCCCAACGGGGAGAGGCCCTGCTGTCCACCACCCCTCTCCAAGAATGCGCTCTCCCATGGGAAAGGACTCGGAGCCTCCCACCCTGAGCCTCCTAGAGAGGCTCAGATCCTCAGAGGAGGGGAAGGAAAAGTCCCCTGTGCTATAAATACTTCTCAAATGTCTCTTGTAAATCTCCAGATGTGTCAGCCAGGCACAGGGAAGAGAGCCTGAATTAGAGCCGATTAGAGACCATCTTCTCCCAGAGGAGGGCAAGCCTGCCTGTCAACCTGAGCCCCGCGCGGCCCCCGGGACCACCTCGGGGAGGAGGCCGCCCTGCTACCAGCCTGCCCCCCCCCCCCGCCTGTGCCCGGGCGCTGCCAGCTTCGGGAAGGACAGGCACCCTTTTCCCTTGGGAGCGCCGGGGATCGTCCTGGGGGTCGTCCCAGGGGTGCCCGGGTCCCCGGGGCGGCGGGGGGGCGGGCAGGGCGCGAGGACGACCCCAGGCGGGGCAGAAGCCAACCGCCCGGGCCCGTGGGTGATTTATGAAGTGCTGAAAAGCATCTTCGAAGCAGTCATTTATCTTACAGCTCTCAGCCTAAATAAACACAGAATCCGCCTAATTATAGTTACAGTGGAAACACAACACCGCGCGGCCTCGCCTGCGCCGCCGGCCGCTCCCGCCCGCCCCGGCCCTGCCCGCCGCCCGCCCGGCCCGCAGCTGCACCCTAGCGGCGCCTCGGCCCCACGCCGCGCGGCCCGCCGCCTCCTCCGCCTCCCGGCCCCGGCTCCCTCCCGGGGCCCCCCTTCGCGCGCCCGCTCCTCTCGCTCCTGCTCCCGCCAGCGCGCACCCCGCGCACCCTGGAAAAGAATCTGCGGAGAGCGGAGGCCCTGGCCGCGGCCCGCCGGGCCCCTGCGCCTTCTGCACCCGTCCGGCCGCAGCCCGGGGAGCCCTGGCCCGGCGTTCCCCACCTCCCCTGCCTGGGAGCTTCCCTGGGCGTCCTTCCCTGATCCGGCCTGGCTCAGGGGGCTCCTGCAAGGTCTAGGGACCCTGTCTCTCTCCGGTTGAGCAGGTCGGGGAAGGCGGGGGCGGGGGGGGAGCAGAGGGAGTGAGGTCTTGGGTATCCTGGAGATAGAGACAGGAGGAAGCTCTTCCTGTTCCTCCGTAATTTTGTATCCTTCCTTGAGGGAGAGAAAGGCTCCTTCTGCTTGATGACCCTTCCTCTCTAGTACTGTTCCTGGACTTGAACTTGGAACTTCCCTTTGGTCTTTTGCATGGCGGCGGCCTCCTCTGCCTCCTGGAGACTCTTCTGTCGTGGCCTTCAAAGCAGAGAGGCAGATATCACAGGGTGGTTCTGGAGGAAGCCCGCACCCATTGGGGGTACCGTCTCCCACTTGGTCTTTTTTTTTTTTTTTAAGATTTTATTTATTTATTCATGAGGGACACACACACACACAGAGGGGGAGAGAGAGAGAGAGGCGCCCGACATGGGACTCCATCCCAGGTCTCTAGCATCATGCCCTGGGCTGAAGGCAGTGCTAAACCGCTAAGCCACCCAGGCTGCCCTCCCACTTGGTCTTTGTCCTGGGCAGGCGGGACATAGGGCCAGGGCTGTGTTTCACATAGAAAAGGAATAATAACTGGGGCGCCTGGGTGGTTCAGCGGTTGAGCATCTGCCTTTGGCTTGGGGTGTGATTCCCGGGTCCTGGGATCGAGTCCTGCATCCAGATCCCTGCAGGGAGCCTCCTTCTCCCTTTGCCTATGTCTCTGCGCCCCCCTCTGTCTCTCATGAATAAATAAATAAAATCTTAAAAAAAAAAAAAAAAGAAAAGGAATAACAACCAAGGGGAACCCTAGTCCCTTCCACTCTTTAGAAACCAGTTCCCTAAAAATGGTAATTTCCAGAGCTCAAGGCAGCACCTGACCAGGGGCAGCTCTGGATTCCATCCATGTGGTGTTAACTTACACACTAGCACACACATCACCCGAGACATATAACTCACCCCTAATTTACTGCTGTCTTTCTGTGTGCCCAGGGTCTTGTTCTTGTAGACAAATTTGGGGATCTAATAACAAAGTAAAGGAAGGATTCCTCAAGAGCAGGTGTAATCTGAGTCGGCCCCCTGGAGGATGAGGGCTTTGGAGAAAAGAGTATAAATAAAGGGCTGCCACCTAGCAGTTGGGTGGGAAGGGAGAGGAGGCCTTGGAAGAAAGTGAAAGGGAGAGTGAGCACATAAGACAGGACAAGAGGACGTGACTGTTCTTGCCCCTGAAGGGCACAGACCTGGGAAGTTATATTACTGGCTTTGCTTCCTGACTCACCTATGACTTGTCCTATCAGGGCCTTATGGAGTATAGCCCTGTGTTAAGTTCCTGCGTTGAAACAGAGCCAGAGCAGGCCATACCATGGATTTGTGTAACTGTGGGCTGAGTGGCTGGGTTCAGGAGAGAGCTCCCAATTCAAGCCTTTTGATGATACCAGCAGCCCCTATGCCAGTCTATGGGTGCCTCTCCTCTCCAAAGAGCAGAGTCTCCCTCCATCCCCCAAAATCCAGTCTGCTCAGCCAAGTCTTGGAATCCTGTTCAAAGGAGAAAGCCTGGGCCTTCTCCACAGTATGCAGAGGAGTGTAACAAAGGAGAGATCCATTTTTTACTAGTTATACCACTGCTTATCCATTAAAGTAAGATAAAAATACCTGTTCTCTTCCCGGCTCCCAGAGCGCCAATTCAAATGAATGAGGATGTAAAAGCTCATGGTAAGAAAATCTCTCCCTAGGTAGTTCCAGATGAAAGAACAGCTCTTTAGCACTTCTAGTGAGTTAGACCATGAGGCCTCTCCTTAGAGCCTGCGGGGTAATCTCTGCCTTTTTTTTTTTTCTTAAAGAGAGGAGCATAAAGCCTCAGAACAGTTGAATGACTTTCCTGAAGTCACACAGTAAATCACTCTTGAAGACTTGATCCTTTGTGGGGATCACAAATACATTTAAAAAATTTATTTATTTATTTATTTATTCGTTTATTAATTAATTAATTCATTCGAGACACACACACACACACACAGAGGCAGAGACACAGGCAGAGGGAGAACCAGGCTCCTTGCTGGGAGCCTGATGCAGGACTTGATCCAGGGACTCCAGGATCACTACCTGAGCCAAAGGCAGACACTCAACCCCTGAGCCACCCAGGCATCCACAAATATGTTTTAAGGATACTTGGTTTGCATTAGCTCTTTGAAGGCAAGACAGGTGGAAAGAACACTTTAAACCGGCACCTGTACAGATTGGTGAGAAAATACAATTTTAATAGAAAGAGGGGAAAAGCTCTCTACTCAAGTTCTCTTTGGCCGAGTCATTTTAGTTTTCTTGTGGGTCTCTCTCTGCCTTTCTTTCTCATTTTCTCCCTTTGCCTCGATGCTCCCCCTTCTTCCCTCCTGAACTGTCCAGTCAGCACTTTTGTCCCCAGGATACTTTGCTTTTTTTTTTTTTTTTTTTTTCCTGCCAGCCCTTTCCTGCCAGCTGCCAAGGCTCTACCCCTCCCAACTTCCTCAGTTGATCCTCTGCAGAAGCTGATAGCTTATCTCCACACAGCAACACGAAAGTGAGATAGTGGACTCAGAAGCCAGCAACCCAGAGCATCTTGGGAAGCAGCCTGCTAGTGTGAGCAGCCCTGTCCCCCACCCCTCAAGTGAACATCACCAGTAGATGCTTCCCTCCTCCCGCTCTGGTCTAGTCTGTGCTTCCAAAGTCAGATTAGGGCAGACAGGTTCTGGGTGGCAGTGGGAATGCACCGTGTCCCCTTGGCTTTCAGATGTCTAACTTCAAAGGGAATTCATATCTTGCTGGGTTTTTTTTCCCCCTCTGATGTGCTGTGCAACATCAGAAAAGTCACTTGGTCTCTCTGGGTTCCAGTTCCTGAAGGCAGGTAGGATCCAACCAGAGTAGGCCTTTATGTGTTTGACCCCAGGTTTAGAGCGCTGGCAGGTCCTGAGGAATGGAAAGTAATCGCCATTTCTAGTAACTTCTGGGGCATGCCCTCACACTTTTCCACTTCCTTTTTTCTCCACTCTGTGTGTACCCCAATGACCTGACATGGAAATTTTGTCTCAGGCAGGAATTCTCTCACCTGGAGTGCTCCCAGTTTCAATTCTGAGAAACCCCCAGGGTTGGAAGGACATTACTCACCAGTTCTTAATCTAATAAATATGCAACTTTTCCTCTGCTAGAAAAAGATTTTCCATTCCCACAGAGCAATAAAAAGCAAAGCAATTGCTTCTTTTATTGCCGCAGTCTAGGGCAGGAGTGTCCCCCGCCCCCCCGCAAAAAAAAACCCCACAGGAGATATTTAGTAATGTTTGGAGACATTTTGGATTGTCACAATGGGGAGAGGGTCGCTCCTGGCATCTCATGGGGGAGATGCCAGGCATGCTGCTAAGCATACTACGATGCACTGGACAGCCCCTGCATCAAAGAATTCTCTAGGCCAGCATATCAGCTGAGGTTGAGAAACATGGGCCCAAGTTATCATTAAGCAAGGGCTTTGGTAAAATTTTGGGGCTCAGAGAACATGGAAGTGGGAAGAATTTGTTCTCAGAAGCCTCCTGTAGAATGAGGAAATAGTGCCTCTGGGTTAGGAGGCATCCTGTCTGAGAGGAGAGACACAGTTCTTAAGCCTGTGCTTGGGGGATTTGTAGTCTAAAGAAAATCAGAGGAATATGATATATTAAACCAATATTTATTTATTTATTTTTAAACCGATATTTATATATTAAACTAATATTTATATATTAAACCAATGTTCATGTAACATGTATTTATTAAGCTCCTACTGTATGCCAGGTCCTATGTAAGGTCCAAAGGAGACTCTAAATGAGTTCCCAAGCTGTATGCTGGGAGAGAATTTCCCTTCTTTTTGGTCCTGTTCCCAGTCACCACTGTGGGCAAGTTTTGACCAATATACTTGGGAATGAGAAGGACGCTTTGGGGATGCCTGGGTGGCTCAGCGGTTGAGCGTCTGCCTTTGGCTTAAGGCTTGATCCTGGATTCCCGGGAGTGAGTCCCACATTGGGCTTCTTGCATGGAGCCTGCTTCTCTTCCCTCTGCCTGTGTCTCTGCCTCTCTTTCTGTGTCTCTCATGAATAAATAAATAAAATCTTACAAAAAAAAAGAATATTTAAGAAAAAAACAAGAGAGAAGGAACTTTGGAAGAAAGGCAGTGTAGAAAGGTTCTAGGAATCTGAGTAGTTATATTGGGTATACTTGGGAAATGCTTAGAAAAGTAGAAGCCAAACTCACGGGAAGAAACAAAGGCCTGGGTTCCAGTGGAAGAGTAGGTGAGCCTCTTGGGTCAGG